GCGTATTGGGCTTGACTTGATGGTGGTTTACAGTTACAGTTGCTCGGGCTGGCCGGACGCATCGCCAGCATTACTGGCCTCACTCGGACGAGAGCTGCCTGTTGCCTTTGATTTGGTGGCAGTTCAGGGTTGCTCGGGGCTGGTTTGGGGTGAGTGTTGGGCTTGCTGAGGTCCTCATGAGGGCGGATCTTGGGTTTGTTTGGGGTTCATTTAGGCTCGGCAAAGGGCTGATATGCAGGATGCGGTTCGGAGGGTTTAAGGTTGACTTTGGGCCGGCTTTGGCTTGGTTGGGGCTGATCTGTGCTAGGTGTGCAGCTGGTTTAGCTGTGGCTTTTGGGTTGCTTCAGGACGTAGTTATGCAAGTCTTGGGCTAGGATTAGGATTGGTTTGGGGCAACGCCCCACAGCCAATTCCAAACCAGCCCAAAGTCAACCTTAAACCCTCCGAACCGCATCCTGCATATCAGCCCTTTGCCGAGCCTAAATGAACCCCAAACAAACCCAAGATCCACCCTCATGAGGACCTCAGCAAGCCCAACACTCACCCCAAACCAGCCCCGAGCAACCCTGAACTGCCACCAAATCAAAGGCCAGGCAGCTCTCGTCCGAGTGAGGCCAGTAATGCTGGCGATGCGTCCGGCCAGCCCGAGCAACTGTCAACCAGCATCAAGTCAAGCCCAATACGCAGACCTGCCCAGCCGACCAACCAACCAACCAACCAACCAACCAACCAACCAACCAACCAACCAACCAGCCTCCTAGCCGGGGTTAAGCCCCGAGCCGGGGCTAGTAAAAAACAAACACCGGTTCCGATCAAGTGGAGTGGTCAAAAAGGTAGCCAACCCGTTTGGTGGCCAAAATGTTTGGTCCCCAAACACTGTCGAGTCCAGGATCTCAGGGAGTGAGTTTGGGGGTTCCATGCGCTCCATGCCCTGGCAAAACAATCTCAACCGGGTGAAGACTTCTGTTGATACTGTGGATGGACAAAATCCTGCACCACTTTGAAACCAGGAGAAACCATTGTTTGTTGGTATTTAGGGGTGAATCATCATTCCAGGGTTTCTTAGGTGGTGCAGGATTTCGTCCATCCACAGTATTGCAAACCATCGCAACGCTACCATGTGCTGTAGCTTACCCGCAACGTGTGCTAGAGGTGCTTCCAATAAAATGATCTGGCTCGGGGCTGCTTCAGCCAGCGTGCTACGGATGTGAAGAAAAAGCATGATACACACCCTCCACTGCTCTTTCTCCAAGTGCGCATTTCCCCCGAAAACTAAGCTTCAAATACTGGCCACCACCGTCATCCTGATGGGGTGCAAAAAAACAATCTATTCAGCCCGGGTGAGGCCTGGTTTTGCCGAACTCCCGGAGTCACCAAACAAGGGAAATACTATGCGTCCCTGATGGTGCGCCCTTATATACCTCCATTTGCTTAAGCCCCCTGGAAAAGATACATGTCCAGTAGTACTAGATTCCCTTTACGCCAACAGGGGAAAAATAACAAAGCGAAAGCAAACGGATGTATACCCCCCAAATCGGTTGACCCCAGTTTACGATACTCGGGCATTCACGTCAGTCTGCGGCCCCGGGCCCTCAAATCTGCGGAATCATCTGCGTGGCTTCGTGGACGCGTTAAGCTATTTAAGCTGTTTAAGCTGCAAGTCCAGTGCTCATATCATAGAAACAGTTGCACCAGAACCCAAAAAGCATCATTAAGAACCAAACACAGCACGTGGCAAATTACCGAGCGGGTTCTCGTTCCCATGCTTTATAGGTAGGGCTTGGTGAACGCGGGTCTCTCTTCCATGTTCTGTCATCAGTTGACTGGTACTTCCATGAGAGTCTCTGACGTCCCAGAACATCTTCCATTGGATTAACAATTCAACAAACTTCTGACCAGGCTTCATCAACTGTCCCTGGAGCCACGGAACCATGGCGCAGACAGATCCTTCGAGCGTGCGAGTAGCGGGAGGGTAGCGGGAGGGTGGCCGATGGCACTTGGGGAGGTGGGGGTTGGGACTGGGAGTTACATCAAAAGCATTCTAGATGCTGCGGCCTGAAAATGGATTTGGTGCCCTTTGGTCCAGGCAACCCTTCCTCCCACTAACACGACAAGTTCTGTGGGAGGCTACCTGGATGCATTTCCTCAAGGGTCCTGTACCATGCAAATCGGGAGGGTACCGTTTTTGGAGAAGCCCAAGGCGCTCACGCTCAGCACTCGGGGCTTGGCCTTTGGCCATCACGGACCCATTGGGTGCTTGACTCAGGGACCCAGACACCCCCTTCACGTGACGCACATGCCTTTTGGCTTTGCCTTTTGACCCCTCTTTCGCGGGGAAAAAAAAAAACGCGGGAAGTGCAACAGCCCTCTCTTAGGGGCTCCCTTGAAATAGGGGCTCCCTTGAAAGCCTCCGCACACACGCGCACCAAAACGCACTCAACTACCCTCCGTCCCAGTAACTTGATTCCAGTACCTTGCTTGCGCATGTTTCAAGCACTATTGTCTAAAAAAAACCTTTCAGTTCCCCTTTACAAGCAGCCCCCAACCCCAACCCAAACCCAACACTCCGACTCCCCGCGAGCCCCGCTTTCAGCTCTCTCTCGCACGCGGTGCTCGGACAGTGCCCGGCTTTAGGCGCGACCGAGTTGGAAGCCATCTCAAGAGCCCAGAACGCGAAGGACATATCGAGCTCATGAAAGGGGTTTGGGCATTGACCTTTAAAACACACAAAAAAAACAATGGCCCTGGTACAGGGAAAAAAGAACCCATCTAAACCAGTGGTTTTCCATCTCTTTCTAGCCAAACGAACCTAAAAAGGGCACCTACGGATTTGGGTTTCTGTTCAAAATGACAGGAAGAAGCTGTCTAAGAAGCTGGAAATTGAGGGAACCCTAGGATCTTCCTGGCTTCCCAAAACATTGTAAGTGAAACAACCACATCCAACCACAACATGTCCTGGCGGTCCCCCTATAACTTCCAGACGACTATGTCCAGATTCCCTACATGGCACAACTTGGGCCGCTACCTCCATTTCAGACTTTAAGTCATCAGAAGACGAAAAAAGAAAAAGAAGAAAAACAACATGCCAATATGTATAAATATACCCTACCTCTCTACCCAGGCCTGAGAAGTAGCAAGACAGGTGCCCCCTTTTTTTGGCCAGAAAAGGGTTTCCAGGAAGCGCTCTCTAATGAGGCAATTCATCTTGAAGGCGACGTTTGTTTCCACCAAAACCATAATAAAAGGCCCAAGGCGACCACAACCACAAACAAAAACAAAAAAACGGTGCCCCTTCTCGCTTGCTATGCTGTTCTTCCTCCGTGCCTTTTAATCTCAATCACAAGGTAACGGCAGTTCCAGGCTCCACCGATCCGATGCAAACGGGTGAGAATAGCACGGGTGGGCCGACTGGTGAGACATTAGCTGCAGTCACTGCAAGCATTTGAGAGGCGACTGGGCAACTGCCAACTACTTCAAACATCCATTTTCCCTGGAAGCAATCTGCCCAAGGACAGGATTGGGCACTTGGAGCATCTATAGAGCAGTCAAATGGCCAATGGAGCAATGCTGTTGCCTAAAAGACCACAAGTTTGTTCTGCGCCCCTCGCCCCCCTCGCAAGCTCTTGGGCACAGCAAGGTGTGTTTTCTCGAGCCGGGACTGGCCCATGCAAAGAGCTCGAGGGGAATCCTCGCAGCCTAACTTCGGGGAGCAATGAAGTGAGGCTACACTGCCAATTTTTGAGCCGGCAGTGAAGCAAGGGATAGCAACCCCCACGTTCCATGGCACCCTGATTCTTCCTACAGGAACATGGCCTTCCCAATTGGTTGGGAGTAGATGATCTTTATACCCTTGCTGCAGAGTGGCTTGCTTCGGCACATTGCAACTCAACCCACGAACTACAATAATCTCCTGTAGAGGAAACTCCTTTTGGGGGCACATTCGTTTGAGGGGAGAAACATGAAGCTTTATGGGTGCATCGGCCGATTCCAAACCAATTTCCCCTCTGGGTTTGTTCCCCGTTTCATTCGCAAAGACCCGAAAGGTATTTTCAGGGGTTCGCCATTTTCAGGAAACCAGGAAAACTGGTTCCCCGTTTTATTTGGGGGTTCCACTTGTTCTTTGGGTTGACCGAAACCTGTACTCCCTGTGATCTGCTACTCCTTGTGATCTGCTCTTTCCAAGCTCACCCACCCTAGCTAGTCTTTGGCTTGGGCTTTGTTCAATCGGGATGTGCCTTCTCAAAGGTAACCCACCCCCGAAAGATCGGTTGATTCCCCAAGGAAACCCATGAGCGTAAGCCCCTGACGCAAAAACAACGTGGAACCCGGCTTGGTGTCAAACCAAAACTACATACATCTTCAGAAGCTGTTGGCCTGAAAAGTGTCCATGCGTTCAAGGGATCCACATACCCCATGGGTCAGACACTTTTAGGGCCCGAGGCTTCCGGTGTCCAATGCGCAGCCTGAACCCGTTCTTCAGAAGACTCCTGTCTGAGCCCCTCTCTGCAAGTCTTGGTTGATGTTAGAAGGGGAGCAAAAACTTAAATTTTAGCAGTTAAGTGGGGATTTCCCACTAAACCACAACAAGCAAAAATGTAAAATGTGTCCAAAACGAGAAGCCAGGGTTCCAGTTTGCAAAGGGAAACCAATGAGGTGGCTTGTACGCCAGGAAAACTCATCCAGGGAGCAAACTTCTGCCTCCTTTGGTGTACTTTCGCTTCGTCCAAGCGGGGCGTCTCTGATTTTAGTGGAATGCCACTTCATCGTTGTTGTTTGGAGGTATGGAAGTTGCATACCACTGGTAGGGGGAAAAGGGGTATATACTGCGTTACAAGCTTATGCAGCTTTTGGAACCAATTCCTGCTCCTTCGGGGGGGCACTGGATGTCCCCAAATCAAAAGTTGATGAATTGACTGGTGGTTTCCATTGAAACGATCGCCACCGGAGGTTCTTGGGAAATGGCTCGGAAACCCTGCTCATGTGTGATAAAAAGAAGCTATTGGACTTTCGAAAGGACTCCCCTTTCCCACTTTTTGCCTCAGAGCCAAAGCCAACGCTACGCCTCAGCGGAGGAGGGAGAGATGCGAGAGACGGCCCCGCAACCCCTCGGGGATCGGTGAAGTGCGGCGCCGCTCGTTCGTTTAGAGGGCGAAGGCTTCACTTCTCTTCGCGGGGGCTTGTTTTAAAGGAAACACCAATGGAGCGTGTTTGGGGTGCCCCATCTGAAAAAGCCACACCTTTCTAAAAGGAAAAACCCGACGTTGGTGACTCGCGTGCCCGCAAGACACGTTTCGTAGCTGGGTTCAAAGGCAAAAAGAGCACCGCTGGAGGTCTGCAAGTGGATAGCACAACATCCTAGCTGCGGGTTACTGGGCTTGGCGTTGTAATTGAGGGCAAATTGGTAGGGGCTACATACTTGGAACAGGGTGGGTGCTTTAAACCCAAGCCCTCATGCGCTGGTTTCCCTTCTTCCCTTGCAACAGTTTCCTTGAGATCCCGAGCATTGTACCGCTGGAAGATTTGGATGCCTCGTCTTTCTTGGAGTTGGTACCCCTTTGTGTGTGGTTTTCAAAGGGACACCAAAAGGAACCCCGTTGAGCCACCTTAGGTGCCGCTCAAAAAACGGCCTGGCCGGTTTTTGGCTGAGTCAAGGTGCTGCGTTGGATCTTAGTTCCGAGAGCTTCAGGAGCTCCTTTTGGATGAGCACAGCGGATTGGTCCCAAACACGACGAGTTGAACCCGCCACATGGGGATGACTCTGAGTTCGGGACCCTTTGCTGGATGATTCGGTGAGGGTCCGGGTGTGTCCAAAGGGACTTTTCAGAAAGTTCCCCATTAAGACTCACAGCCACATGGCTATCTCCAATTGCAAATATGACCTTCCTAGAGATAAGCCCAGTCATGGTTGATTAGGTGGGTCTCGACCCGAACCAACTGCCATGTTTGTTGGACCCGAACCAACTGTCGCACCAAGGCCATTTTAAGGTACGCTGGGTCCCTGTACTTTTACCGGGGAACCGGGGAACACTGACTTGTTTCTGTCTCCCATTCTGCCAAAGGGTTTTGTCCCTCCCATATGAAGGCGGCATCCACAGAAGCATAGCTGAAGAAACAATGTCCCATGGCTATCTTCAAATGCATGTGACCTTCCAAGAGAACGTTTCTCCATTCAAAACCCAGCCGAGGATTGTTGGGGGTCTTAACTCAAACCTAAACGAGGCGAGACTACTGCTTTTTGAAATTATTTACTATCTTCATGCAGAGGAATTGAATAGAGCTCATTTGGTGTCTGCCTAAAACGTCGATCGCATCTCTGGTGCTGTGGATGGATCAAATCCTGCGCTGGTTGGGGTATGGGTCTGCCTTTTTAAGGGACCCTCAATTTAAATTGGTGATGGTCCTTTAAAACCACCCAAACAAGGTTCTAGGGTTGATGCCCCATTCTTTCCAACCATCGTTCTTTCAAACACTGGCAGTTTGTTTTTTCTGGGTGTTTGATGGTTGCTTGCAAAGATTCGGACCCCTGAACAGAAGGGGGAACCAAAGTCAAACACCGGGGTTGCTTCCCTTCAACCAACCACAGGGTGACATTGATAACGGCCAGGTAAGGAGGCCAGGCGATTCCCTTCGTTTTGAAGCTTCACTTCGATACCAAAAAACGGGAGAGCTTGCAAAAAGCACGGGCTTTCCCCGCGTGTTTGTTGCAACAACCTATTTTATGAACACTCGGAGATCTTCGTTTTCGCGCCTGGAGCAGGCTGCGGAGGCTCAGGTTAAAGTGAGCATCCTGACAGGTCGAACGAGCTGCCCAAGTTGCCGTTGGGCCATTTTTTCTTGCTGGTGCTCAGTAGGGAATGAGGGAATGACCCCTTGTGGTTTCCTTTAAGGGAATCCCTGGAATCATTCCCACATTCCCTACTGAGCACCAGCAAGTTCTTTGCGGGACCAGAGTTGATTTGGTGACTTTCCCATCTTAAAGGGAGATGGTGCCAATTGTGGTGGTCGTCCCCAGGTTTTTCCCCAACAGCTGAAAGCGTCCTGAGGGTCCCAAATGGGCCTAGTAGGGCTCGTTGGGGGCAGCTTTATATTTTTTCCTTTTCTTTTTTTCCCTCTTTTTTACGGGATCCAACACGTGGCAACATGGCGCAACGACCCACCTTTTGGCTTCCCTTTTACAACCACACAAGAAGGGATACCGACTCCAAAGAAGACACACCCATATGGGGTTCTCCAAATAGACCCTTTTTCATAGCTCCAGCCAGTCCAAAAGGTCCCTTTTGAAATCAATATGCTTAAGTGGTGAAATAGAGATAGAGAGAGAGAGAGAGAACTCTAATTGTCGAGGGCTGGTTGTTTTCTGTTTGCTTGATGGCCGAAGTCCATTTCACGCCGCCGTTCAGAAAAACCCCTGGCTTCGGATTCGATTCCCCCGGTGCGGTCTCGGATGTCGATTTCGGCGCCACAGTAATCCCTAAGAAAACGCTATGGTTTCAACCATGGCTCCACTTTCACGGCGCGAAATGGACAGATTTCCTCCATCCACAGTCGGGCTCCCCGGTTCCCTCAATTTCCACGGAGATCCGCGAGAATCCACGTGCGGAAGCGGAGAGAAACCACCAAAGAAAACACTGCTGGTGGATGGAGGACTTTGAATCCATTCATTTCGAAAGCACATTTGGAACCATGGTTAAGAAACCAGAAGGCTTGTTGGTATTTACGGGGGGGGGGGGGAATCTAGGGGTTCTTAGGTGGTGCAGGATTTCCTAGGTGGCGCAGGATAACCTCAACAGGTCCGAAACACGCTCCCAAGATGTCCATACTAACAGCATTTCCAGGGGCCAAAACGGCAATGTTTAAAAACCACCAGAAAGGGGAAACGTAGGGTCCCCCGCACCAGCGGGAAGCTGTTGGGAGTGTCAAGCGAAAGGGTCGCTTAAGGCAAGTGAAGGGTCCTCCGCCACGTCGAACGGGGTGTGGTCATCGATATTCTTCAACCTGAGCGACTCGAGTCACCGTCCTTTCCCCCCAACTGGCACGCGGACCACCACACCCCTTGCCGTCCTCCTTGGTTTTCAGTACTTGAACCCAAGCAAAAGGATCAAAAACTCACATGAGACACACCCATCCTTCTTATATGGCGGTCAGAACCTATGCCTCCATTTTGGGATGGATGAACACCCATGTAGCACCTATTTTGATGTTCACACAGGGTTTTGACCCACAGCCATATAGTGGCTGTGATCCTTTAACTTGAGTAGCCGGTGGACATCAAGTTGGATTTCTGTGAACCGTGCACGGCTAAGAGGGCGGATGCCTCTTCTCTCAGGGTGCCATGGTCAACCTTCCCCTCGGGCCAAGGAGCCCTGAGCTCAAGCAACCCTATGGCTCGTCCCTACAAGTAAAAGGACGTTGCCATTGCACATATGAACCATAGCCCTGGTCAAATCTCCAAATTTGCAAGCCCTCAAGGAAGGGAAAATGAGCGAGCCCTAGATGTTCTTGTGGCTAGTTTTCTGGCTAGCCGTGCACTCCGGTGAGCGAAGCGCCCCCCTAGGGGTACGTCGCAGCGGGCTAGAACCTGACCGCGTGGGACGCCCTCTCCAGCTTGGCGCTCTCTTCTCGCTGCGCGTGGCGACGCTCCAGAAGATCTCATGGGGTTTCCCAGACATCCCAGTAAGTTGCGAGCACTAGAAGTCAATGGCCAACGGAAAGAGTGCCATTCTTTCCCGCTGGGAAGTCCATAGCATTCACCCCCTGTGACAAGTTTTGGTGGGTGATAGCCAGGGTTTGGCCGTCACGTAAGGGGATGGCATTGGGTACGCCTCGAATTATGTCAGAGCTGTGAGGAGGGCTGACGTGGCTTCTAGCCAACCTTTGCTCCTTGACTGTACCCTTTTTTTAGCCATGGAAGAGGACACGTGGTTTTCGTTCTCCGTCAGGATGGCACTCTTCCCAAACGCTGCGCAGTTTGTTGCAAAGCGAGTACCCCCAAAGCGATATCTCTGAACTGCATACCTTTGGAGTCCTTGGCAGCCACCTGCCATGCAAGCGGGTTGGCTCGATGTAAGAGCATGTCGCCAAGTATTTCCATTTGCTTAAGAATATGTTTTTCTCCCCTGTTGGTTGAAAGGGAATCTATCACTCCTGGAAATATTTGGCCAAATGGAAGAGTACTTTCACTTCGTGAAGCTCTTTAGCGGCAAATTTTTATGCCCCAGATGCACCTTACCAACTGCAAGGCTTTGGCCAAGTTCGCGGACATGGGTGTGCCCTTTTGTAGGATTGCCCCCAACATTTGTTTTGGTTCCTTCCGGTCTCCCTTCAAGCATGCCCTTACAGAACTCCTCTTTAAAGGCCAAATGTTGGATACCCTGAGCTCCGAGTCCAGCTCTATTCCAACCACTAGCAAACCCAACCCACTGCAGGTATGTTGTATGTTCCCTTCCGGTTTCCCTTCAAACCCAACCCTTTTGTTGGCACTTGAACTTAAAGGCTTCCGGCAAACAAAAAATAAAAACATGCAAAGGGAGGTCCCCCTAGCTCCTGCTCCCTTCCAACCACCTAGCAAACGCCGACCCGCAGATCCAGGTCTTCTTGGCAACCTACCATGTCCTTACAAGCCCAGCCCACAGGTCTTGCAACCCAGAGGTCTTACAACCCACAGAACATGTCCTTACCCCGAGGTCTGTCCACGGCACAAACCCAACACAGGTCTTGGTCAACCAATGGGTTGACCAGGTCCTCCAGCAGAGAGGTTAGAATAAGTTGGTACTAAAAAAAATTCGGGACGTCTATTTTAGTAGAGGAACTCTCCCAACTGAAAACCCTCCCAACCCAAAACCTCCCAACCAAAACCCTCCCAACCAAAAAATAAACGGTAAAAGTTGGCACCGAACTGGGGGACCGATTGATCGACCGCTATCAAGCGGCCCTGAGGCAACGGCTCTGCATCGGCCCTTGCGTTCAGGAGGCTCTTGCACACCTCGCTCCGCTCGACGGCGTCCCGGAGCGAGCCGCGGCTCGGGGAGTCGTCACTGTCTTCCATTTGCTTTTTTCGCCGGGAGAAAATGAGAAAATATGTCCAGTAGTGAAATTGATTCCCTTCAAAACCAACAAGGGAGAATAACAAATACTCTCAAGCAAATGGAAGTTGTTTGTTTGAAGTAGAGGCCTTCAAAAAGCCCTCCCGAAAACGGCTGGAAGCATGTTTGCATGTTATCTTGTGTTGTTTTGACTCTCTCGTATTTTTTGGAGTCCTCCCTGGTGCTTGCTTTTCGTCTTCGTTCAATACTCTGTTTTGTTCTACGGAGGATCCACGAACATCTAAATCCCTGAGTGCGAAGCGCTAACAACCACCAGCCAAGGTAAATCACAGGCAAATCCCTCACATGCGTGGGAAACCACCATTGCCATACTGGAACCCATTTACATGTCCTCCAAGTGGAGCTAGAAAAGTGAGTTACACGCAAACAAGAGCACCCAACATCTCCCAACCTGCTGATGAATGAATCGTGCTGCGTAGCCTTGTGGTCCCCAGGATAGAATCGGGCAAAAGTGGATGGCACATGTCTCTGTATCCGTGAGTGAAATGGATCAAAATCTAGCCTGCAAAAATATACAATGTCCTACCGCAACCACAAACACCTTGATGGGGCAATTGACCAGAACTTAACGAGAAGACGAGGGCTGGGCTGTCGCGCCCAAACATTGCTTGGTTTCGGGATAAACCCATCAAACGGCCACAAGTTGCTGCTTGATTCTTCCAAAACCGTTTGTTTTCACGGACCCTGATCTGACCTAGAGTCTCCTCACCCTTCACACCTCCTTCCCTAAACTGCCACAGGTTGCTATCTTTTTTCCTCTTGCCATTCCCCCCAAACACCCCCCCCGGTCAGAGGTTCGTAAGCCTCGGGGTCAAAAAAACTCTCTTTTTCCTCGTGCCAATAGCCCCAAACACATACCCCCTACTGTGGGTGGGCAAACTCCTGAACCACATTGAAACCACGAGAAGCCATGAGTTTGTTGCCAAAAAAGAGGGAAATCCTCCGTTTCTTGGGTTTCTTGGGCGGCGCGAAATGGAGTTCGCAGCCAAAGAAGGCCAACACCCCAAGGTCAGAGGCTAGGAAGCCTCAAAAAGTCGCCCAAGGGCCCCACTGGCTTGCTGGTGCGACAGCCAGGGAATGAGAAATGGAATGACCCCCAAAAAACACCATCCCCTATGGTTGTCTTTCAGAAATCGGAATCACGGTTCATTCCATTTGCTTGCTCAGGGAATGAGAAGTGGAATGAGCCCCAAGAAAAACCATCCCCCTGTGGTTGTCTTTCAGGGAATCCCACAACGGTTCATTCCATTTCTCATTCCCTTCGCTCGCGCGCCTGTAGCTGGCCCTCTTTCGAGGCGAAGTGCAGGGCGCTCCACCCATCCTCCTCCACCTGAGCACTTCGGCGCTCGGCGCAATCGGCTCGCTTCCGCTTCCTGGGGGTACCATAATAATAATAATTATTATTATTATTATCATTATTATTATTATCATTATTATTAAAAAAAAAAAGGCCCACACGTTCCACAAAGAACGAAAGCCCACATGTCCTGTAAAACCCTGTGCTTTTCAATGGATGAGAAGCGAGGTGAGCAATGCTCGCCATCTCATCCACTCGCCGCAGCTTCAAGCCTGTGGGAATCTGGTGCACAAAGGTATCGGTCCTGCCCACAAAACAAGCACGCACCACAACTATGACACAGAAATGGGTTTTATCCACCAGATAATTACCTTGTTTGTGGCTGGCATACCCGTTCTGCTCTGGACGCATTGACTAAGTTTGGCGAAAAGAACGGGGGGCGATCTGCAGCCCGAACTTGCCAAACATGTATTGTCCACTGTCCACTTCTCAAATGGCCTAAAGATATCCATGCATTGTTCCAAGACCCACAAATCATGGACAAAATGCAGTAGGTTTGGACCTACCAAAGTCAGCTCCGAAGAGGCGTTGCATGCCTTCCCTTTATGGACCGATCCTTCTATTTGGGCCGATCCAACTTCACTGGGTGGTTGAAATAACTAGCCATTGTGGTACCAAAGCGGATAACATCCCGAGAACAATTTACTTTGTCACTTCGCGGATTCCCTTGGGGTCACAAAAAAAGCGAAAGTGGCCGAAGGGAACACAAGATAGCGCCCGAAGGCACCCACGGAGGCCTGAGCTTCGACGCAAGTTCCCAGCTCCCACCATCCCTCCATCCCTCCATCCCACTATCCCACCATCCCACTGCCAAACCAGTTTGGACAAGCAGCACAGAAAAAGGAGCTTGGATGCAGCTTTCACCATTTTTTGAGAGCATAGATGAAAGAGTACTGAGAGACTCCTGAATCAGGGACTTCCTTCAGTGTCTACGGTATCCATTGACCGATTCGTAGATGTGGGGGAAGGATGCAGCTGATTCACTCGCAACCATATGCTGGGGCGATCTGACTCCCCAAATGTTGCAAGAGCAAAATGGTATGCTACTTGGACGACTACCCCTCCTACCCGCTTGTGTTTGTAGTAGAGGGAAACCAAACAGAAACCAAAGCCCGTTTTGGGCGGGTGTCCTGGTTTTGTTTTGGCGGGGAGGTTCTGTCCATGTCCAACCGCAACTTCCAACATCTGTGTCTTCAAACGAATCATCAACACCCTGTGGGTTCCCCGCCCCAATCTCCAACCCTTCGTCCAAACATGTTTAAACACCTAAAGGGCGATTCCCTTGTATTGGGAAGCCATGATTAACTAACCCCTCCATCAATCATTTAAAAAGACAACCCTTCATATTTAGGTGGGAGTGGCACCTCCTGATAGTCCAGCATGTAAATCTGTGGAAATCGAGGGGGATTCTCTTGTACAACCCAAACAAGATGTGCTATAAGGGGGCTTAAGTAATTGGAAAGGGTTTCCGGGGTACTTTGAAACCAGAAGCTATGGGAAAATCCATGCGCCACGCCTTGGCCACCATGCGGGCTTTTCCCTCTTACCACTTCCGAAAATTGGGAAGGCCTTCCACACAAGTGTCTCGTCCTTTTTCGGAGTCGGGCTCGTCCCTTCAAAGTGCGGGCGTCCAAGGGAAACCAAAAGGAAGGCAACCCTTGGACATCCGATTCCGATTTTAAGACCACACCCAAAGGACTTCTCCACAACAAGTTCCCAACCCGCTGAAGCGAGTGTGCCTTTTCTTAGACCCCCAACATGGCGCAGCGCGATTCCGTTTGGTCCCTTTAAACCACCCGCCCCCTCTCCTTTCCCCCCCCAAAAAAAAAAATAGTATCAACTCAGATTCCCTAGTTCCATTCCAGAAACTCCGGCCAAAACCGGGTACCAACCGGAAGAAAAAAGAAAACCAAAATAAGCTCTGGTGATATCCCCAACAGCATGCGGTGCTCTTCTTAGTCCCGTGGAACCCTCGCGGAACCCTGGTGGAACCCTGGTGGGCCGCCCCGAACCACCCCGGAGCCTATCTGGGCTGAGACCCCAAAGCTTTCAGCTGTTGGGAAAAGCACCGATGAGCCGCCAAAAAGGCGAGAAACAGCCACGAATGGACGGCTGCTCCTTTTTCCTTATTTGGCCATGGGTCAAAATCCAAGTATCCCCAGTGAACATCCCAATCCCCACTAAAATAGGTTCTAAAATGGGTGGTGCATTCACCTACCCCAAAATGGGATCCCATTGGTTTTGACAACCACAGCCATTTATGTTTCCCTGCAAAACCCAGCAACACCAGGTTGGTACCTGGCCTTTTCGTCCGCCTGGCTTGGGTTCCCGGCGGCGTTGACCTCCGCCCGCGCTTGGATGAGACGCTTCACGCAGTCCAGGGAGCCTCGGAAGCCCCAAAGACGCCGGCCATGGGCTGGGGAATCCCGAAAAAATCCGAAAACCCTGGGATTCTTAACCCAAACAAATCCCAAAAGGCGAAAACCCACAAAAGTCTGAACCCCCGCTCCCCCTCCCCCAAAAAAAAAAGAAAGAAACGCACAGGAAAGCCAAAAGGCAACCACTAAAAGGATAAACCCCGAAAGCATGGAAACCTCCCGTTTCGCTTGCCCGTTGTTTAATAAAATAGATTGCTCATTTGATCATTTGCTCGTCAGCCGGCTATGCGCCCCAAGGAAGAAACGATGGATGCCAAGAAGCGAGAACATCTATGGGTATCTTAGAAACTGAACATTTGGGTGCATCTTCTTTTCAGAAACCTCCCAAACTGATTGGTTTCCTTTTGGCATCCTTTCAAAACCACCAAAACAGGGAGACCCTCAAAAAAGCCACACCTTGAACAATCACACCATGCGGCGCGCAAATGCCTCGCGCGTGTCCACCTCCATGTGCTCCATGTAGGCGGCGGGGTGGCGTCGGCTGGGAGCCAGCTGCCCATGTCTCTCTGGCACCCGGGTGCAGAAGATCCTGCTGTGGATGGACGAAATACTGCACCACTTTGAAGCCATGGGAAGCCATTGCTTGTGGGTATTTCCAGGGGAATGATCGTTCCAGGGTTTCTTAGGTGGTGCGACGTGGATTTCGTCCATCCACAGTATCAATGCAAACACGGTGTGGCGCCACCTCTGCTGCATTCTCCGGAGGCTTCCACAACACCTTCCTGTAGCCACACAGAAATGCAAACTTCGGGGTGGCGTGGGTACGAATTCCAATTTGCAACCCTTGGGTGGCGTCATTTCCATGGGGATTTCCGTCGACCAACCATTTTTGAGGGTGTTCCAGGGATCCTTACATTATACACCTGAACATTTCCTTGTAAATTGTGGTTTCCCTTTATTTTGGTGTTGAACAAGCAACATGTTTCAAATGGTTGCAAAATGTATCTTTTGAGGAGCCCTGCAGCTGTGTTCACATTGAATTTCATGCGCGGGAAAGCAAAGGTTCTTGGGGTCTCGGTCGACCGGTGTAGTCAAAAAACGATGTCCACCTCCGCAAAATGGGTCATGCGAACATTGTTCGGGGAGTCCCCTAAAGCAAGACACGGCCCTATTGTCTCGGAAGGTTGTAAGAATCAAAACTGCTCGGCTGATCCACCCCCCACGCCCCCTCCCTCCCCCGCAACCCTTGCCACAGGCAAAAAAAAACTCCACCACAGATCTGGATGTCCATTTCAAAAGTTGCGACCCGGTGGGTGCCAAAGAAACCCGTCAGCTTTGTACCCCCGATTTCCCACCTCCACAAGGTTCTGCCCCTTCTTCGAAACTCAAAAAATTCCAAGAAATGGGTTTCCTGGTGCCTTCCCTATCAGTGAATGCCTTGCCGTTCCTTTCGAAGGGGCTTCCGGTTGGTGTCGCGACAAGTCGCGGCACACGACCGAGGCCCCTGGCCCTTTTGGGACGCGAACCTCGGCGTCGGGCGATCGCTTCGGTCCGAGGTCCGGGGAACTTCGGGACTTCGGGTCGTTGCAGTCGAAGTCCCGAAGGCTTTCCACAGGTGTCCATTTTTTGGTTGAACATAGATGGGTCTGGCAGTTGGTTGAACCACCAGGGAAACCAGGAATCGCCCTCGATCTTTCAACCAAATCAACCAGAAAGGACACCGATGCATCTTTCCATACCCCCCCAGGTCGGGTCTCTCATTCTTGTTCGGGGCAAAAGTGGGGTTGGATTCAAGAGGGGAAGCCATCAGGAAAAACGGTGGGACTCCATGCCCATCACTTCGTGGTTTGGCCTGTGGCCTGGCGTGTTCTGGAGGGCGCCCCCTTTTTTGCGGTCGGTTTCAGCGAAAACCAATAGGAGGAAAGATAGAAAAACGCACCATATGCGTCCGCATCCTTAACTTAATACAGTGAGCAAACAAGCCTCACACCGCGGCAGAGTTTAGGGTCGACGGCTGGGCTCCTCTTGCTGCTTCCAAAACAGAATTCGGACCCAACAAAATATGCAGTCCCAGCATCCTGGCCAATAAGATATGTCCTTGGTGTGTTTCCTTTGTACCTGTTTGTTGGCAGTGGATATCCTCTCAAGGATTCTCTTTTCTTGGCCCACATCTGAGGTGCTCCCCCCAAAAAAATAGATACTGTGTTGTGTTTCATTTTAGTCTGTATACCCTCCCACCAATTAACATGGAACCTGACAGAGTCTCCCTTCAACAGGAAAACGGTCTTCCAGAACCCGCCGAACGTCAGGTTCCATGTGAAAAGGGTGGGAGAGGAGTAACCTGGGTTAGAACCTACAACCGGCCCAACTCACTCATAGGTTCTACCCCTGCCCCAGGTATCCTAAAAGGTAGTAGAAACCACTCTGCAAACACTTGGCGCACTTGCAGCCAGAGTATTCCCGGTCACTCATCTGGTTGACTAATACGAAAACATGGCAAACTCTGAAATTCGTTTGGGAGGTGGAACAACTATGAACTCCTGAGACTCTGAAAATCGGAGACCGGGATGGGAGACAAGTGCTATGCAGCGGCAACGCTCCGCTCCGAGCCCGCGGCATGATGGGAGTCATGCCCAGGTTCACGGTGTCGTCCAGGCCACCTACCGGATGGATCGGTGTTCGCGAAGGACGCAGCTTCTTGGGACGAAAGGACGTGCGTCTTGGTCGAGGCGACCTTTTTTGGAGTGGTTCTTCAAGGGAAACGAAAAGGAGCACCCCCCCCCCAGTTTGAGGGCTATTTTAAGCTACCTTTGTTGGAGTGGCCTTTTTCATGGGCAACCAAAAGGACATGTGTCCTTGTTTAAGCTACCTTTGTTGGAGTGGCTTTGTTAAAGGGAAGCCAAAAGGACACCCAGTTTTGAGGGCTATTTTGAGACACACCCAGAATCACATGGATTGCTTCTTTTGAGGGTGCCCCATAAATCAGGAAGTGTTCACAGAACTTCATGGCGTTGGGTGTCTCGTTGTTTGGTTGGCACGCCCTTTTGGTTGATTGTAAAGGGGAATGAATGGAAACCCAACTTCACATGAGCACGGCTAAGAACAACATCAACATGTTGCTTGGCGTTTCGAAAGGAAGCAAAAAGGCGAATCATGCAAGCCACAATCACTAGTCATTGCATCTCCCAGTGACGTCGAATTTCGTGAGACACCCCCCATGTCCTTTTTTGTGGGCCCCTTCTCGTCCTCCCCAAACTAACAAGAGACTGCCAGTAATCTTGTCATTTTGATGCTTCAACGATGTCCCATTTAAGAGGGCAACCATCGCTTTTGAAGGAACCCGCCCCCGCTTCCCCCACCCCCCCCCCATATTCGGGCGTGTCTCAAAATCGAGGCCCCGAACTGCTTCAGGTCCTTCTGGTGTCCCTTGAAAAAAAGACTTACGAACCATCAAGCTACTCTCCAGAAAAGCCGCCGGAGGCCAAGTTCTCTCGGCTCGGACTCGCGAGCCCCTGGCTCTTCCGCGCATTCTCCGGCTTCTGAGGCTTCATCACCTGAAACGCCGGATGGACGAACTCCGCGCCGATTTTTTCGCACGGTGGAGAAACGGAGGGACGCCAGCAAACAATGGTTTCAACCATGGTTTCCCATGGCTCCATGGGCCGGCTTGGAGTATGACCTTTAAAAAGTCGAGGCCTCAGGAATTCCAGCACTTCAGGAACTCTCTTCCGTGCAAACAGAAGCAATGGCCTTGGTTTCAAGGTGCAGTAGTTCGTCCATCCACAGTGTTAATAAACTGGGGTTGATCAATATGGGGTCAACATTAGCTATTTTAAGCACAGGGGTGGGTACTGTGGATGGTTGCGAAATCCATTTCGTTCAGAAACCTTGGCTTCTGATGAATCCCCTGTAATACCAATATATAGAAGAAACCCAACAGAAGGATGATTTCAAGTGGTGCGACATGGATCTCGCCCATACACAGTATGGCGAAGAAGTTTGAAAGGGGAACGGCCCCAAAACGCGGGTTGTCCTTTGGCTTCTCTGCAAACTAACCTGAAAAAGGCTCCCTCCCCAACAAAAAATTGTCTTTCTCAAAAATACCGGGGACGAAATCAACGCCGATCGGCGCCGGTTGGAATTTATGGGATAAACCACCTGCTGCGAAATGGATTTTGTGTTTTGTCCCTGAGTTTTCTTTTGGCCTCCCTTTAAATAACAACCAAAAGGCAGTCCACTAATTTTGAGACTTCAACACCCAAACGCCTCGCCATCCGAAGAGAAGCGCGCGGCGTTCCTATCTTTGTGGACCGCCCCTTTGGCCACTGAAACGAAGACGAAAACGTGAGGCATTTTGCACCACAGGGACAAGCTCCGTTTTCTGTCAAGGATGACCTCTTTTTCGGGTTTGAGTGTTGTTGCCATGAGCAAAGCTTCGGAAAACGTGGTAAGGTTTGTGGATGTGCTTTCCAGTGGTCCTTCTTTCCAGACCGCCAAGCACCCGGGGAAACGGTGATGGTTTTCCAGCTATGAGTTTTAACAAACAACAAACACAATTAACACAATCCATGTTTTTTCTACTGTACACCTGGATACTTGACCGAAGCTCATTTGGAGATTGAAAATCGAAAGCTGGACATGTCCCGCCCAAATTGACCAGTCGGGATATTTGACGGGACCCGTGAAATGTGGTTCGCCCGTTGTTGAGGTCCCTAACGACAAACCCCTATAGGTCTGTTTTTTTGAAGGGGGCCGTCCTAAAATGGTTCTTTTCCTTTTGGCTTCCCTTCCAAACCAAAAGCGGGGGAACCAACTCATCGGGATACGAAACCTCACCAGTTCGGCCCCCAAGCCGGCAACGTTGGCCGAAAGCCGAAAGCAAAATTATCCCCTCACGACCGAAAGCAACGCGGCCCCGAAAGCCGCCCGAAAGCCGAAGTTCGAGCCGTTCCCAGCGGTGGGTTGGTGTTAAGAGGGACCTGGATCGCCAGTTGCTGCTTTTGTTCCATCCACTTTACCCCAAAAACAAGCAACAGTGACTGAAAAAAACGGCAACTTGCCTATCCAGGGGAACCAAAAGGAACCGAAAGCCCAAAGCGGAAAGCCGAAAGTGAGGTCGAGGCCAGCGGGCGCCGGGTCTCTGTCCAGGCCCCCTTGTCCAGGGCCTCGCTCACGCCCCGCAGGTTGCCCTGACATGCGCTTCGGGCGCGCCCGAGTGGCGCGGGGCGAAGTTTCGTCCGCGGCGGCGCGTGGTTTTTGTTGTTGTGACTTAGCTCCCCCGTCTTTTTGGTGGTGTTATAGGGAAACTAAGCAGAAAGCCGACGCCATTTTGGGTCCGATTTCTAAAAAAACACACCATCCATTGCTTCAACAACCTCCTTGCTTCCCCGAAATCAGGCTAGGGGCTTGTTGCTGCTTTGACTCTGCGACTTTGGAATTGACGCTGTCTGAACATGCTAAAATCCTTCAACCTGATAAATGACTGGGATCCCCAGGACCTTCACCATGAGCTCGTTTTGACTCCGGCGCTCGCCATAAAATCCACACATTTCGTGAGGCAACTTGGCGCTGAGTTCCAAGAGGTTCAGAGAAGGTGACTCTTCCACCGCTGGAGGAGAACGGTCCCAGCCAGGATTTCAGGTTTCAGTTGCATGGGGTTGGGGAATGGGATGGGCCCCGCTCTCTTTGGGCTTGGATGAAGGTGCTACATCGGGATTGGGAATACACCCTGGATTTTGGCCAAAGGAGCCACCTTTTTCAAATGAAAGGATCCCTTACATGTGAAGGATGTCAAGCTGTCGATTGCTGGCGGTCCTCCCTTGCCAAATTCCAGAGAATGATTTTTCCGGAACCCAAAAAGGAAATGGATTTCGAGGGATGCATGTTCAAAAAACAGTAACCAGATTGAACATATGGTTCACTGTTGAATTAAAACAATGAAGGAAACAAGTGATTTGCAGTTTTCATCCGTAAGTGATGTTGTGCTCCTGGTATCTGATGCCGTCTTGCGGCCTGTTTTGAATGTTGAAAACCGACCGCAGGGATCGATGCGGTGTACTTTTGGAGGTCGCACGTTTCCCACTTCCAGTTGGCTTCTTTGCCTGCGGATTCAAAGTTTGAAAGTGACGCTCCATGGCACCCAAACCGACCTTGTTGACACACCATGGTGGCAAATCCACCTCTCTGCAATGCCAAAAACCCGAAAAAATGTCTAGTGTCTCTTTGTTTCCAAACCCCAAGCAGCCACCCCCTGCACCTCTCGCATCCCTGAAACCTTGAACATTGTTGCCTTGCACCCCCTACATCCCCTGCATACCCTGCAGCCTTCATCCAAAAAAAACAGGAAACCATGATCGGCAACTAGATGGGTGCACAGGGGAAGCTCCAGAAGCACATGGAGGGAAATAGGAAATACACTCTCCGTTCCTTTCTATTCGTCCAGAACTTCCGAAGTAGGGAAGGTTGAAAGCAATGTCAATCACAAGATGGTTCAATTGAATGCTGTTGTTCAGGGGGTGGGTGCGCCCTAAAAATTGAAATTTGGACGTCCTTTGGTTGATGTTTGATAAGTATCAGTCTTGGGGGGTATTGAGGTATGCATTTATCACCTTTCATTGGGCATGCCCTGCATCACTCGCATCACTCGCATCACTCGCATCACTCGCATCACTCGCATCACTCGCATCACTCGCATCACTTGCATCACTCGCATCACTCGCATCACCTGCATTACCTGCATTACCTGCATTACCTGCATTACCTGCACTACCTGCATTACCTGCACTACCTGCATTACCTGCATTACCTGCATTACCTGCATATCCTGCATCACATGTACCACCTGCATTACTTGCCCTACACATCCTGCCCTGCATCACAACAGCATCACCCGCATCATATGCATCACCCTGCATCACCTGCATCGTCTGCATCACCTGCATCGTCTGCATCATATGCATGGCCTGCATCATCTGCCGATGCGACTTGACCATATCAGCTCACCCTGAGCAAGGAAATCCTCTTCAAAATCTCATTTGGAAGAACAACTGACTCCAACTCTGTGTTTTCGTTGAAAAGGAACTCCTATTTAAAATATGTTTGAAACTAAAAATTCTACTATAATTATTTTCCTGATTAGATTCCAGTAAATTCCAAATAGAAAGTGAAGAAACAGCATCCTGGGAAAGGACTTCTTTCTAAGAATCCCCATTAACAATGTTCTTCAAAATTGAAAATCTATTCAAATCATCTTGAGTTTAGACATTATGTTAAATTAGGTGCTATTAGCTTTGCATCACCTGCATCACCCGCATCACCCACATCGTCCGCATCACCAGCATCACCCGCATCACCCGCATCGTCCGCGTCGTCCGCATCGACTTCATCAACTGCATCGTTTGCGTCTTCTGCATCGTTTGCATCGAGCGTCTGCATCATCAGCATCATCTGCATCACCTGCATCACCCGCATCACCTGCATCATTCCTGTATCATTCTGCATCCCCTGCCTCTGAGGTGTGGGTGGAACTGAAAAAGTTGGCGCTCAGTTGTTCTTTGTTTGTGTCCAAACCCGAAGCCACTCTCCCGGCGCCCTCACTTCTGGCTGTCAAAGAAACAAGCAAATCAAAAGGCTGAAACTGCGCGGGTCTCAGGCCTTCTCGGCCTTGCCTGCTTTCAAGTTGGAGCCGAACCCCACTTAAAATACAAAGGCATCCAAACAACTTCTAAAGCAGAATTTGCTGGACTTAAACTGGTCAGTTTTCATTTAGCCAAAGGAGTCCAATTGAGGACGCACCAACAGTTCGCAAAGGCCCTGTCTTTGCAAGGCTCACCTTTGGGTGTGACAAAGGGCAACTCTAAAGGTTCAAAGGTCAATTTGCGGTAAAATTGCGGTTTGCCCAGATTCCTTCGGGTTTTTACGTTTCTTTTTCAAGATTCTTCTGGGTTCTTCCAGATTCTTCCAGATCCTTTCGAGGACCGGAACTGCCTGACGCGCATACTGCAGGAGCTCGTGGTTCAACAAGACCTGGGGGCGGCAGATCTCTTCGGTTTGGTTCGGATCCCCCCGCTTTGTGCGGATGAATTTCCTTTTAAACATCAACCCGTTCAAATGACGCTCGTTTAAACTTCGCCTTTCCAACTGGAAATGCTCAATACTGTGGATGAACGAAATCCATTTCGCACCATCTGAGAATGATGATTCCCCTGCAAATACCAACAAACACGGGTGGTTTCAAAGTAGTGCGAACAGATTTCTTCCATCCAAAGTATCACCCTTTGAGGGGAAATTTTGGGAAAGGAGCAGGGAACTCTTGGTGTTCGGATGTTTGGCTGTGTTTCAGTAGGAGCTGGTCTCAACCAAGATTGAATTCCTTGCGTTGGCGTGCGTTGTTGCCTCCCCCTTATTCTTCCTAATGGGGACTTGTATGAGCTTTGCACCCCACCACATGATGTGGTAAAAGGACCCCGTTTTGGCGAGGGGGGGGGGGATGTGCACTTTTGGGGCGTGGGGAACACAAGGGGGGCGGTGTCCGTCCCACAGAAGCAACAAAGGGGAACCCCCTGCAACAAATTGGTGGGAGCAAGGAAAGGCACCAAGTGCCAATCCCGTCCGATCCGCCTCGTCGCTGATGCGAGCTCCGCCGCGGTTTGCGGAAGCCACCACGGTGGTGACCCCTTCCTAGCAGAAACATTGGGGAGCACAGAGGGAAACCGAGCCAGGCGTGCCCACCGAAGAACCCTGGGCAAGTCCAGCCCGCCACTTTCAAAATTTCGGGTTGGGGGTTTCTCCCAGGTCAAAATGGAGCTCAAAAGGCAAAACGGGCGCTTTCACAAGGAGATTTGTCGAATGATGGTTAGTCGGACCACGATATTTCATAAGAGTCGGCCTCGCAGTCCGGGAAAGGGATAAGGCTCACTTTTCAAGGCAGAGACAGTGCTTGCCGCCTGCATGGAGGGTCTGTTGTTGCAGGCAACCAGGAAAAGAAACCATTTGGCTGTGGGTCAAAAATGGGTACCCAAATGGGTTGCCCTGGTAAATGAAACCCATGACTGAAACATGCGGTTTGCTGGTAGTTTAATTTGACCCACACCCATTTGCAAACATGCGTGGCCAAAAGAAAGCCGTCACAGACCCATGTCTGGCCAGCTTCTATTCGTGCGATCCAGACATGGGATGCACCTTGTTTCCCCACACCAGATACACCAAATATCGCTTTCTGCAGGATCATCAAGGTGTCCACCTATTGATCAATTGATGGAAACCAGCCTCGCAAAAGCTACAAATCAACCTTTGCGAATGCGGGTCTGCAAAAAGATGGTAGCTGACAAGCTACACGAAGTTCTGAGAGCCATCTCCAAAAAAAATGAAGTAACAGTTGTCCTGAAGGAATTTGTTGGAACCTCCCGGAACCCTCCCTGCAAGCTGCTCCGGAAAACCGAACGGTCCTCCAGAGCACTACACACCGCCACCACGTCCTCGTCCCAGGTGGCACTGGCATTGCCTCGCAGAAAACCCCGAAAAGCGGGGTCTCGCTCTCCCAAATCAGCCTGGGGGGTTGGATCCTGGATTTGGAGTTGAACCGTTGCTTCTTGTAGGATTGAAGAGAAACCAAAGGCCAACCTACCCCCCCCCGCCCCAACCACTTCAGGCTGGAAAAGAGGTCCCGCTGATGAGAACATCCACCTTACTTATCAGCAAGTGCGTTGGAAATGAATGAGCCACGAGCAACATCTGGGCGTGCATTTTTTTGTTTTTGTGAGGGTGAATTGAAAGGGAAGCCAGAGGGAAACCACCATCTCTTGGGTCCCCCAAGTTTGACACACACCCACCTGGTACTGAACTCTTGAACTTCGTGGTTTGTCGATTCATTGGTAAAAAGCCTAACGTTGAGTGCGACATGTCATAAATCCCTCTGTATAAACTCCAAAAACTAAAACGTCCAGGAAAACGTAACCAAGTGAAGGGCTCTGCCCAAACGAATGTAACGAATACAAAAGGCGGAAACAACCTTCAACCCGCACGGATTCTGATCTGAGTGATGTTGGAAGAGGACGAACATGATTCATCTACCACTGGGCCCCGGTTGTTCTGTTTGCTACATGTCCATTCTAACCTGCTCAATGGCTCGCTGATTTTGAAGGGATGCGCTGCCCCAACAAAAGGAAACGGGCCTGCAACTCGGCAACTGGGACCCAAAGTGGACGTGGGTTCCAAAGCAACCCTACTCAACCCAAAAGTTTAGGAAAACTCCGGGGGGGGGGGGGGGGGGGAAGAGAAGAATCTTGCATTCGGATTCCAACCCGAAAAGCGATCTTGTTTCTTCTTTCTTCCACCAAAAAGAAGGAACCCTACCCTTTTTAGGAGCCCAAACGAACCCAAGGGGAGAAGCCCGCCCAAACCGGTGGGACTCTTCTGACGTCCTAAAAACGCGCAAACCGCAAGAGTGAATTTACACCCCTCGAGAAGGACGCGATTTGCGTGACATCCAAAAAGGGAAGCCTCAAGGTGTTCACACACAAACAGGAACCTCAAGGGAACCTCAAGGGTGTTCACACACAAACAGGAACCTTAAGGGAACCTCAAGGGGTTCGCACACACACAGGAACCTCAAGGAAAGCTCAAGGGGTTCACACACAAAGAGGAACCTTAAGGGAACCTAGAGGGCTTCACACGAACAACAGGAACCTCAAGGAAAGCTCAAGGGTGTTCACACACAAACAGGAACCTTAAGGGAACCTAGAGGGCTTCACACGAACAACAGGAACCTCAAGGGAAGCTCAAGGTGTTCACACACAAACAGGAACCTCAAGGGAAGCTCAAGGGTGTTCACACACAAACAGGAACCTTAAAGAAACCTAGAGGGCTTCACACGAACAACAGGAACCTCAAGGGAAGCTCAAGGGTTCACACACAAACAGGAACCTTAAGGGAACCTAGAGGGCTTCACACGAACAACAGGAACCTCAAGGAAAGCTCAAGGGTGTTCACACACAAACAGGAACCTTAAGGGAACCTAGAGGGCTTCACACGAACAACAGGAACCTCAAGGAAAGCTCAAGGTGTTCACACACAAACAGGAACCTTAAGGGAACCTAGAGGGCTTCACACGAACAACAGGAACCTCAAGGGAAGCTCAAGGGTGTTCACACACAAACAGGAACCTTAAGGGAACCTAGAGGGCTTCACACGAACAACAGGAACCTCAAGGGAAGCTCAAGGGGTTCACACACAAACAGGAACCTTAAGGGAACCTAGAGGGCTTCACACGACAACAGGAACCTCAAGGGAAGCTCAAGGGGTTCACACACAAACAGGAACCTTAAGGGAACCTAGAGGGCTTCACACGAACAACAGGAACCTCAAGGGAAGCTCAAGGGTGTTCACACACAAACAGGAACCTTAAGGGAACCTAGAGCTTCACACGAACAACAGGAACTCAAGGGAAAAGGGGTTCACACACAAACAGGAATAAGGGAACCTAGAGGGCTTCACACGAACAACAGGAACCTCACGGGAAGCTCAAGGGGTTCACACACAAACAGGAACCTTCTAGAGGGCTTCACACGAACAACAGGAACCTCCTTAAGGGAACCTAGAGGGCTTCACACGAACAACAGGAACCTCAAGGAAGCTCAAGGGGTTCACACACAAACAGGAACCTTAAGGGAACCTAGAGGGCTTCACACGAACAACAGGAACCTCAAGGAAGCTCAAGAGGTTCACACACAAAACAGGAACCTTAAGGGAACCTAGAGGGCTTCACACGAACAACAGGAACCTCAAGGGAAGCTCAAGGGGTTCACACACAAACAGGAACCTTAAGGGAACCTAGAGGGCTTCACACGAACAACAGGAACCTCAAGGGAAGCTCAAGGGGTTCACACACAAACAGGAACCTTAAGGGAACCTAGAGGGCTTCACACGAACAACAGGAACCTCAAGGGAAGCTCAAGGGGTTCACACACAAACAGGAACCTTAAGGGAACCTAGAGGGCTTCACACGAACAACAGGAACCTCAAGGGAAGCTCAAGGGGGTTCACACACAAACAGGAACCTTGGAACCTAGAGGGCTTCACACGAACAACAGGAACCTCAAGGGAAGCTCAAGGGGTTCACACACAAACAGGAACCTTAAAGGGAACCTTAGAGGGCTTCACACGAACAACAGGAACCTCAAGGGAAGCTCAAGGGGTTCGCACACACACAGGAACCTGAAGGAAAGCTCAAGGGGTTCACACACAAACAGGAACCTTAAGGGAACCTAGAGGGCTTCACACGAACAACAGGAACCTCAAGGAAAGCTCAAGGGTGTTCACACACAAACAGGAACCTTAAGGGAACCTAGAGGGCTTCACACGAACAACAGGAACCTCAAGGGAAGCTCAAGGTGTTCACACACAAACAGGAACCTCAAGGGAACCTCAAGGGTGTTCACACACAAACAGGAACCTTAAGGAACCTCAAGGGGTTCGCACACAACAGGAACCTCAAGGGAAGCTCAAGGGGTTCACACACAAACAGGAACCTTAAGGGAACCTAGAGGGCTTCACACGAACAACAGGAACCTCAAGGGAAGCTCAAGGGGTTCACACACAAACAGGAACCTTAAGGGAACCTAGAGGGCTTCACACGAACAACAGGAACCTCAAGGGAAGCTCAAGGGGTTCACACACAAACAGGAACCTTAAGGGAACCTAGAGGGCTTCACACGAACAACAGGAACCTCAAGGGAAGCTCAAGGGGTTCACACACAAACAGGAACCTTAAGGGAACCTAGAGGGCTTCACACGACAACAGGAACCTCAAGGGAAGCTCAAGGGGTTCACACACAAACAGGAACCTTAAGGGAACCTAGAGGGCTTCACACGAACAACAGGAACCTCAAGGGAAGCTCAAGGGGTTCACACACAAACAGGAACCTTAAGGGAACCTAGAGGGCTTCACACGAACAACAGGAACCTCAAGGGAAGCTCAAGGGTGTTCACACACAAACAGGAACCTTAAGGGAACCTAGAGGGCTTCACACGAACAACAGGAACCTCAAGGGAAGCTCAAGGGGTTCACACACAAACAGGAACCTTAAGGGAACCTAGAGGGCTTCACACGAACAACAGGAACCTCAAGGGAAGCTCAAGGGGTTCACACACAAACAGGAACCTTAAGGGAACCTAGAGGGCTTCACACGAACAACAGGAACCTCAAGGGAAGCTCAACGTGTTCACACACAAACAGGAACCTCAAGGGAACCTCAAGGGTGTTCACACACAAACAGGAACCTTAAGGGAACCTAGAGGGCTTCACACGAACAACAGGAACCTCAAGGGAAGCTCAAGGGTGTTCACACACAAACAGGAACCTTAAGGGAACCTAGAGGGCTTCACACGAACAACAGGAACCTCAAGGGAAGCTCAAGGGGTTCACACACAAACAGGAAATTCAAGGGAACCTCAAGGGGTTCACACACAAACAGGAACCTCAAGGGCAAGAACCTCAAGGGAAGCCTCAAGGGCTTCACACACGAACAGGAACCTTAAGGGAACCTCAAGGGGTTCACAAAGAATAAATGGAACACACAAACACATGGAACCTTTAAAAGGCAAAAATCGGGCGGTTTCGCGCTCAAAACCAACCCCCCACTTCGCCTGCGGGGGGGTTGGCGCCGCGGGGTCTGGTGGCTTTTGGCCCCTGGCGAGTGACCCTAAAGACCACCTCCATGGATCAACTTGCGATCGGTGCTCAGGGAATGAGAAATGGAATGACCCCATAAACGATCCAACTGGTGGTTTCCTTTAAGGGGACCCACCTGGATCAATGCTTCTAGGTCCTCCAGATTTGAGAGGTTGGAATAAGTTGGTGCCCGATAAGTAGGGGAAAACCTCGCAAAAAAAAGGGCAGAGAAGGGCACTACTGGGGGACCTAGGCTTTCAAGAATCTGGGCAAATATATTAATTCGCCAACCCTTCTTACCCCTTGCCTCTTAGTCAGGTAAAATGTTGGCAGCACGAAACACATAAATCACCCATCGAAGACCAGCGGACCCGCAAGAAAAGAACCAAAAAAAACTTCGGGCGACAAAATCATTCGATACTGAATCCGTCTGGAGGAACCCTTCCATTGCGATCGTGTAACTTTTGTGACTCCTTCAGGACCACACTTCTGCACGCCATGACTCTGAAAGAAGAGATTCCAAGTAAAGGACCTGTATCATGGCGACCAAACAAAATATTTCGCAAATCCCAAGGAAAGGACCTTTGTCATGACAAAGTTTGTGCAAATGCATTCCCCTGTTTGAGGAGCTATGAATGTGAATGATCGCTGAGGGAAGTTGTTTAAGTGCTTCTTCACATGGCTGGCAGGTCCCAACCCGCTAGGCCCCCAAGTGGTCCCAACCAACCCAACCACTTTTCCCCCCGGTCCCCCCCATAATGTTGACCCCGGATCTAAGTAGAACTGGTTGATTTTGATCGGGGTTGGTGTCCAATTCCTTTTAGTGGTTGGATTCAGACCACTTTTGGAGGGAACACCCCCCTAACCCCTAATAATGGGACAGGTTTACTGATCCTGGGTGTCAACATTAGAGATGGACCAACTTGGAGAAACATCACCAAACACGACTCACAGGCGCCGACCCCTGGATTCTTGATGCTGATCTTCCAAGCCTGTTGGTTGGACGTCTCCCAGAAAACGACAATGTCTCAACTTGATCCTTAGCAAAGAAGAACCAAAGAATCGGACGGTTCATGCGCGAGACACAACAAGAATCATGGCGCCTGAACGTGCTTGACGCGCCTGTCGACCCTCGTTGTGGACGATGGGATCCCATTTTTAGTGAACACCCTGCAAGTGCAAGACCCTTCTTCCCTTAACAAAGATTCTGCTGACTGGCTCATTCCTGAAGAATCCATGACGACATTTTAGTGGGAAACTCGCCGAACACGAAAAGACAAGAAGCAAAGGCTCGAAACCAGCGGCCGAGAGAATGGAAACATCCCTTGTTCGATACGCTCGTGTGCACTATCATGAACACCATGAGAAAACAACTGGGAAAGACTCGGAAAGCAAACTGAAAAACTCAAGTGAAATCAAAACAAACTGAGAGGGCAACGGGGAAAACCGACTGAGAGAACCAGTGGGAAAACACCTTGGAAAACGAACTGGAAAACTCAAGTAAATTCGAAACAAACTGAGAGGGCAACGGGGAAAACAGACTGAGAGAACAAGTGGGATAAGGAAACCACGATCTGGCTCATTTCATTCCTCACGCCTCGGTGGCAGCAGCGCCGTCGCAGGTGGACAGGACGTCCAGACCTCGCGCAAGAGAAGACCCGAATGCAAGCCCCAAGGCTCAAATCACCTTACTCCCAGACAGTGATACCAAAGGGGTTGACTTCCACTCCCGCAGACACTTCCCTTGGACACCTTGCTATTTCCACACAAAAAAGAACAGGGAATTAAGCCGGTGGCCTGTCAGTGGAGCATCACCCAGGAAGAAACACCGGCCTTTTCTGGGGCCAAGCCGATGCTACAGATCCGCAGTTGAAACCACCAGAACCCGCGGATTGGAACCAGAGGCCCCGTTTCGCATTTCGCTGTTTCGATGGCCGGCTGGTGCAATAAGCCTGGCCAAAATAGGCTCAGCATCCTCAACTAGACGTAATCTCTTCCGCCAGCTCCGAACCAAAGCCAGTTGCTTCCAAAGGTCCAAGACGCTCAGGTCACAGACCAGCCATGCTTTGCAGTTCCTCGCTAAGCTCCCAGCTTTGGCCCATGGCGCACCGGGCGGAGTCTGCGGACTCCGGCCCGACTTGGCACGCGAGAAGGGGGTTGTCACCGCTACAAAGAACGGACGGTCCGAAATACGCAGATGACTCGGTTGTTTTTGGGCTTTTGTTGTTCTTCTGGTTGTCTTTTTGCCCCAGCTTGGAGCCGCAAAGTGGCGGCTGAAAGAGGCGAACGCTCAAAGTTCCGTTGGCGTGTCTCACATAGGAATCGGAGCCCAAGAAAGAGTGGTGTTCCATTTTGGTGTCCCTTTAAACCCATTCAAATACCTGAGGAACCAACTTTGGGGGGAAAACTTGTATTACCTGCTCGCTGTGAGCAACAGGCAAAGCTACGAATCTTGCCCAACAGCATGGAAACACTGGGTTGCCCTGTGGTTTTTGTGGGGACTTTGGGTTGTCCGTCCATGTCCTCCCCAAACAAACACAGGCTACCAGGAATTTTGTCAGTTGTTGTGGCTTCTTGGGCTGATCTTAGAAACTCAGGGCTGATGCCTCCTTTTGCCTCCGTGGTAAGAAACAACCTCATTTTGCCAATTGGATACGTGAGGCTGTCTCTAAATAGTGAACTTCCAAAGTGGATGGATTCCTTTTTGGTCTTCATTTCAAGACAGCCACAACGGGGCTCGAGACCCACCAAAAAAAGCCAACCCCATCCCTCAAAGGATGGGACGCGGATTCCTCCGGAGTTCCAAGAACTCGAGCCATTTCCTGCTCCTTCCCTGGTCCTTTCGGCTCTTCTTCGACCGGATGGGTGGACCCAGAATAGTTCGACCCGTCGATCAGAACCCCATAACCTTTCTGGGTTGGTGGGCCTCCGGCGGCTTCTCAACTTGCTTCCTGATCTGCTCTCTTCGGCATCTTAGCGTGCTGCATTCACTTCTCCTTATGGTAAGTCGCAACTGAAACCCAGCTTAGGTCCACGCCCAAACCGAAACCCAAGTAAAACAAATGCTCAATCCACCTATTCATCACATCCGCGAATCGGGATTCAACTGAATTGGCTGAAGCCGCGTTTGGACAGAGTTTGCTTATATTTGGGGAGATCGAATGAAAACCAATCTTTTGGAGGGGTTCCCCTTCATCCAAGTGGCCCAGAAACAGCTAGACAAGAAGAAGCTAGCAGCAAATGCCAATCCTCAGCTTTCCAATATTGGCTCCCAACCCCGTCACGCTCTTGCTTTTCCTGACACCCTGGCACCCTTCATTTTCTTCCGGAGAATGCGCCGCGTAGCTTGGGCTTCGAAAACTAACGAAAAACTCGATCCAAAAATGGCCTGACCGAACCGGTCACTTCCGGCCGCTCGGAGATCCAAAGTATCAATGTCGCCGAAGCGGCCGTGGGAGTCGGCTTTGAACCCCCCTGCTCCAAATACCCAGCCCCTTGTAAGTCTTCTAGGGCATGTCTGGATACATGATGGTATTCTACGGTTTCTACGGTATCTTTTAAGGATTCCATGCCTTTCCAGGACCAGATCGATACCTCTCGTGCTGCTGTTGTTCTTTTTTTGCGCTGCACGTGCCCTGCAACCGGTGGGTATCTGCAGACGGGGGGAACCTGAACCAAAAACGGGGGGGTTCTCCATCTGCTTCGCATCTCATGCGTCGTCCAGGGCCGAAACACCCGGCAGCACCTGTGGAATCGCTGGCCTTTTTGGGCGGTGGGAATCCCTTTTCACCCAGCGCCGATTTATTTTCGTTTTGCGCGGGTGTCTTTTTGCGGGTTCAGTTGGAGTTGGCGGAGTTTGGGGAGGAGGGTGGCGTTTTGCAGGGCTTCCTGAATCACCCAGCCTGGAGGAACTCACTCCAGTTTGCCCGAATAGGTGACGTTTAAAACCAGCAAAAGGTTGTAGAATATTGGGAGCCCTTCCAGAAAAAATGTCGGTTCCCAAAGTCCCTGAAAGACACATCAATCGATGCCCAAGTTGACCCCGCTAAATTGCAGCTCGCATGATCTGGATGAATTTCGAGGCTCTTCAGCAAGTTCCGGGGTTCCGATGAGAGGTACGACAGTCGGCAAGCGGCTAAGAACTTGCTGGTGCGAGAGATGAGAATCGGAAAAGGAATGGCCCCAAGAAAAACCATCCAACCGGTGGCTTCCTTTAAGGGGAAATCCCTGGGTTCATTCCCACATCTACTGAGCGCAAGATAAACCCTTCAGTCTCCTAGGTTTTACCCTGCGCCAGGGAATTGGTCAGTCCACCATTTGTTCTTAAGAAACACCGAACTCTGGAAACACAGAGTCTACGTCACCATTCGGTGGATTGGTTTGCAACCAAATTCCATGGCGCAAAAAAACCCTCGCAACAACTCGTCATTCCAACTGCATCGCAGCTCGAGGGAACATGAAACCTTCAGGGATTCGGACACTTTTCTTTTTTGAGACCCTTCTTGGCTTGAAGTTTTTTAGAGAAACCAAAGGTTGAAACCCTTCTTTTTGGGGGGTCCAAGGGCCCCCCATTTTGGGTGACAAACCCAGATCCCCAAGCCTAGGACCTGACACCGAGATCCACCGCTCCCTCTGAAAGAGGACGTTGCGTGTTCCTGGGGGCTCGGTGCCCGTTTTGGGGTTGGTGTTGAAGGTAAACCAAAGGAAAACTCACCAATTTAAGGGGGTCCGATTCCTAGAAAAAGACGAGCCACCCATTTGACTGGAGAGAGGAGGTCGATTAGAATCACTCTCTCAAAAGATAACTCAGTGGCTCGCTGCTTTTCTTTGGCTAAAGTGAAACTTTTGACTGGGGTCTGCGTGTGTCACATTTTTGAGGGGACCCCCCCCCTCAAAAAAAAGAAAAGAAAAAAAGAACGGTGTTCTTTCAGGCTTGCCGTTGAAGCCAAGCCTCCCAAAAAAGGCGAGCCACTTGCAGCTTGCCTTCTGGTCTTCCTTTTTCAAGCCAGACAGGGGCACCAACTCAAACCAAAAAAAAAAGACGCGCCACCCATTCGCTTCCCCCGGTTTTGGCGCTTCCCCCGGGCTTTTGTTCGCTTCCCAAGACCTCCGCCCCCCGCGCGCGGCTCGCTCCGCGCGGCTCGCCTTGCCCTCCAACAGCTCCAGCGAGGCGCCGCCGCCCGTGGAGCAGTGGGACACCTCCAACAAAAACACGCCGCCGCCGCCGGCGGTTTGGGGGCTCGATGCGCCAAGGTCGGAGGCTGTTGGGTAATCGTTCGGCGAGAAAAAAGGAAGGAAAAAAAGAAACACGCAATTGTTCAGAGAGAAATAACAAACTCATGTTTCAGTTTTCAATGCAGGGTTATGTTTGCTGGTTATATAACAAACGCATGTTTCAGGCTTCAATGTGGGGTTAATGTGGTGACCTAGGTGAAAAATAACAAACACGTTCTTCAATCTGTGAATGTGGGGTTCATCTAGCACAAGGAGGCTATACCCCCTCTGGCGAACCTCCTTAAGGTGTTGCAGGCAGGCCATAGGTAACTTGTTGGGTATTGCCAGATGTTCTTTCCCCCTTACCTACAGGGGTCCCGACAGATGAACTGAAGGAAGCCAAACGCAGGGTTCTTAAAAGGAGCTTCTTTCACAAATTGCGGTTCTTTTCTGCGTTCCATATTAATTAATGTGGCTGGTGAAACACGGGTCACCGAATGTCCCCGTAAAATAGACTTGATCTCCTGATGCCCATGGAAACTGCCGCGCGAAATGGTGGAAAAAAAATACTGCTGAATGGTGTTGCAAGACTCAAATTAACACCATTCCAGAAATTTGAGTCTTTTGGTGTTGCAAGACCCAAAAATGCGATTCCAGAAAAGTATGTCGGCCCCGGACGGTGTCGCCTTGTCCACGGTGTCGTACTTCTTGCAGGCCGTGGCGGTGTCGCCGCCGCCGATCACCGAGACGGCGCCCTCCTTGGTCACCTGGCAAAATAGGTTTTGCTTTTTCCGCAGACGCCATGTGGAAGGCTGCATGTTTTATGCACGTGTGTGTGTGTAGATATATATATATATATACACATACATACATACATACATACATACATACATACATACATACATACATACATACATACATACATACATACATACATACATACATACATACATATACATACATACATACATACATACATACATACATACATACATACATACATACATACATACATACATACATACATACATACACTTACATACATTACATACATACATACATACATACATACATACATACATACATACATACATACATACATACATACATACATACATACATACATACATACATACATACATACATACATACATACATACATACATACATACATTACATACATACATACATACATACATACATACATACATACATACATTTACATACATACATACATACATACATACATACATACATACATACATACATACATACATACATACATACATACATACATACATACATACATACATACATACATACATACATACATACATACATACATACATACATACATACATACATACATACATACATACATACATACATACATACATACATACATACATACATACATACATACATACATACATACATACATACATACATACATACATACATACATACATACATACATACATACATACATACATACATATACATACATACATACATACATACATACATACATACATACATACATACATACATACATACATACATACATACATACATACATACATACATACATACATACATACATACATACATACATACATACATACATACATACATACATACATACATACATACATACATACATACATACATACATACATACATACATACATACATACATACACACACATACATACATACATACATACATACATACATACATACATACATACATACATACATACATACATACATACATACATACATACATACATACATACATTACATACATACATACATACATACATACATACATACATACATACATACATACATACATACATACATACATACATACATACATACATACATACATACATACATACATACATACATACATACATACATACATACATACATACATACATACATACATACATACATACATA